GGGCACTCACATCAGTAATCTCTACCTTAAGTTTTTAGCAACTAACATCTTTTGGAAGCCTGACAGCTGGAAATAAGGCCCTGGACTCGCAGCCTCAGGGTGAAAGAACTAAAAATGTTTTTTTTTTAATTCAGAAACATTTCACGACCTTTAACTAGTGGGGATGGAAAGGCAGAGAGGATGATGTGTAAGATACAGTCCTTGCCCTCAACTCCAGAGAAGAAAATAACCACAGATAATATACTAAAATGGAAAGCTCAAAAACATACGTATTATGAAAATACAGTGAAGAATACTTAACATAACCTTGGTGGCCAGAGAGAGGCCCAGCAAGGTTACCAAGGATGGCTTCCTGTGAGAGTAATGTGTAAGCTTCACCTCACAGCAAGAACAGGAATTGGCTAAAGGATGGAGGAGCATTCAAAGCAAAAGGGGCTACAAAGGTAAAGACAGTGATGGATGCAAATCAAACTACCCTGAAATACCATTTTTCACCTACCAGGTTGGCAAAGACCCCAAAGTATGCTAAACTGTTTATGAAAAAACAAGCACCTTCATATATTGCTGGTGAAGGTATACACTGGCACAGCCTCTAAGGGAAGCAATTTGGCAATAGCTATTAAAATTTCAAATCCATATACTTCCTGACTCAGCAAGTCCAGTTTTAAGTATTTTAGTGTTTGACTCATTAACACAAATATTATTCATTACACAGTGTACTTTAATAAACGAAAGCATCTGCACACAATAAGTACTATATACATACTATTAAAAAAAGAACAAGGTGAAGAATAGCTGAAATAATGTTATCATTGAGTAAAAAGGGATGGGATAAAGAAAAAGAATATTTCACTCTGTTGATTTGTATGTATATATTATTTCTGGAAGGAAAACCAAGAAATTGATTAACATTGGTTATTTCCAGAGACAGAAACTGAGTGCCCAGTGACAGGAATAAGAAAAAGACTTTTCATTGCATACTCTTCTGTATCGTTTACATTTTGAACTATTTTAATGTGCTACTGATCCATAAATGAGTTAATTAAATAAGCGCAACATCTAATAGAAATTAAAGCAGTTTGAAATCAATGGAAAATGAAGTTCTAGACAAGAACTGATTAGAAATGAAGCTCAAGAGGTGGACAGGAGTCAATTCATGAAAGGCCTTGTTCTAGCACACTAAGGATAACGAAGGTTCACCTACAATAATGTTTCTCGAAGTCTGATCTGGGGACCACTTGCAAACGTGGAGAGCTTGTTAAAAATGCAAAGCCCTGGACAAAGCATCAGCAACCTTAAGGGTATGGTTCAAAGAGGCAGAGTCTGGGAGTTCTCCACAAACTGAATCTTTATATTGAGGGGGATGAGAATAAGGTTCAGGTACCTGCATTCTAACAAATTCCCTGGGTGACTCTATAGGTTATAGGGAGCTTCTGAGGGGTTCTAAGCAGAGGAGTAAAGTGGCCAGATGTTCACTTTGGATAGACCATTCTGGTTCCTGTGTCTGGAAGATTTTAAAGGAGTGAGGCTCCGTTAGAAGGCTCTCTGGCAGTACTCCAGATCATGTTCTTTAATTTGATAAATACTCTTATTGCATACACTACACTCAATGCACATGTGGCAAAAATATTATCTACCCAAGAACTACAACCTAAGCTATACCAGTGTTTTAAGGAAACTGAGTAAGGGAAACAAAATCCAAGGCACAGCAACTCCCAAATCTGCTAAGAAGGCAATAACTAGGAAGAATGTGAACCAATAATAGAGGGACCACTAAATGAAATTATTCAATCCCATTAGGAAATTAACTTTTTTTTTTTTTTTTTTTTTTTTTTTGCGGTACGCGGGCCTCTCACTGTTGTGGCCCTCCCATTGCAGAGCACAGGCTCCCGACGCGCAGGCTCAGCGGCCAGGGCTCACGGGCCCAGCCGCTCCGCGGCATGTGGGATCTTCCCGCACCGGGGCACGAACCCATGTCCCCTGCATCGTCAGGTGGACTCTCAACCACTGCGCCACCAGGGAAGCCCAGGAAATTAATTTTTTTAAAAAAACTAAAAATGGAAACCATTAAAGGGGGTAGCTTCTGGGGTTGTAAGACTTGGAGTCGGGGCAGAGAAGGGTGGAAACTGCTCATTTTTTATTTGGTATGTATTAAAATATTTTGAAATGAAACATTCTCTTTGGCCAATATGGCATGTTTAATGACGTCAAAACCCTTTCCAATCAGCTTTGACTCACCTAAAGGTCTAGTTTGTGAGTGTCATCAACTCTGTTAATATAAGCTCCACATCCACCAACAGCTATATCACTTATGATGCAAGTAAATTGTAATAATAGTTCAATTAGCCCTTGCCAAGTCTTGAGCCAGTAGATGTAAAATCACTGAGTAGAAATCCTCTATTCACAAGAAAAGTCACTGACAGGTTGGGGGAAGGGAAATGCAAGAATTAAAAATAAACCAATGTAAAACCAATATGAAAGAGCAAATGAAAGTCAAACTTTCATCCAGTCTGTACATGCTTTATCAGCTAAGAAGTATTTCCTCTAATTGTTTAAGTTTCTGCAAAGTTAGAGAACCACAAGACTTCGGGGTATGAAATTAGACTAGCACTCCATCGCTCTTCTTCCATTTGCATTTTAACAAGTGACCTAATAGAGATCTATTCTGCCACAAAACAATCACCACCACCACAGCAAAAGAGAACCCTCTGGTACAAAACTTCAGGTTACCAGGACACCAGAGACACAGCCAGCCACGGTGCCAGAAGACTCAAGTAAGCACTTGGCCACTTTCTTTTTTACCCAATTCACATGATTCGTATACCTTAGTATCTTTTACCCTAGAAAAACAGCAAACAGTATTAATCATCATGTCATTCCTATTACAGAATCCCATTTTAGAACAACTTCACACAGTCTAGTATTATTTGGTCTGTTCCTGATCTCTGGTCCAGGCTCCACCTAATACTATGCCATTCTGAATACTGGCCTTAACATAAATGATAAAACTCAAATCAGTAAGAAACAAATCCAGTAAAACTTAATTGAAATGATAGCAACAACTATTTCAAAACTGTGTTCTACAGTCCAGAAGTTTTACTTCAAAAGTTTTCTTATTCCAAACAGCATACTTAGCAATAAGCAAATATTTACCTATTACAGATTTCTCTTCAGATACTCAGAGTGGGTGTACTAGGTAGTTCGATTTTTAAAGACTTGATTTGCCTTACATTTAAAAAGTTTTGATTAGTGTCAATCTAGTTCAGAGGTCCAAGAATTAATCTAATTCAGATGCCACTCATATTCTTGAGGCCTTGTAAAAGTTCTTCAGTTTTAAAATACCAGAAAGGGCCTTGGAGGCTACCTAGTCCAATCCTAGTATTTCACACATTGAACTAGGTGAAAGCACTTTGAAAACCAGCACAACACAAAAAGTATCGCTGTCACCAAGGAGGCCCACAGAAGTTAAAAGGAAGTTAACCACAGAGAATCTGGGCCTGGCTCCAAGCTCCTGACCCCCAATCCCACACTCTGAACATGCCAATCAAGTATACTATTTTTTTTTTTTTTTTTTTTCTTGCGTTATGCGGGCCTCTCACTGTCGTGGCCTCTCCCATTTGCGGAGCACAGGCTCCGGACGCGCAGGCCCAGCGGCCATGGCTCACGGGCCCAGCCGCCCCGCGGCACGCGGGATCCTCCCGAAACGGGGCACGAACCCGCGTCCCCTGCATCGGCAGGCGGACTCCCAAGCACTGCGCCACCAGGGAAGCCCTCAAGTATACTATTTTTACTTGTCGTGAGAGGCTTCCATAAAAGCCATAATATGAAGAACATATTTATGGGTATATGGCATCCGACAACTTCTAAAAAGTAGATCTGCAAAATTAGGAGTACAACCCATATGGCACACCTCTTTCCCAAATCAGAAACGCTTGCTTCATTTTTATTCCCTATCTCACCCTCAACTTCACTCCCTAACACAAATTCAACTACTCCGACCTCCTGCTCCACCTGTTTGCTGATTTACTCTTTAAATGATGTAAATGTTTTCTATAAATTGCTACCTTCAAACACTAGGGAAAAGGAGAGAAACCTGCACCTAGCATGGCCACCCGATGAATACAGGGGCCCTCCTCAATTATCTCATTAAACAGTCAAGAAGTTAAATGCTGAAAACAGTCAGTACTTAAACAAGGATGATTTACAATTTCATTCTGATACCTCCACAAAATATTACCAAAAGATTGCTGATGATTACGAACCAGAAGTTCAGAACAGGCTGTCTACTCTTGCACAGAATTCTACAGGATTATGGTTACAGGCAATTTATTCCAAAGCCTTTTGGTGCAGTGTCAACAATTAGAGATTTCCAATGGAGATTTTTCTGGACATATTGCTCATGGTAGCATCATCACTCTCGTTTCCTTAAAGTGGGTGGGGACATGGGATCAGAAGTTCCAAGAATAAGAGTGAAGGCAGATAATATTCAGGGTTTTTTCCCCCCTTAGGTGTATTTACATACTTTGCAAAGATATTAGTAAATATCTATACCAAATATAGTCTGTTGGGGAGGCACTACTATATTATATAGACCTAGACGCTGTATTTCATAATTACCCTGTACCTGCCTTTTGTCTGGACCTTGCTACTTAACAACATACATTCACATTTTCCCCGCTGCTCTGCCCAGCACTGGAGACACGTGAGCTTTTGATACAAACTCCTGGAACCTTGTCTGAGAACCACGTTCCAGCGCGGAAAAGGCTCAAGCAGACCGGCTCCCCGGAGTGCCCGGGCCTGGTAGTCCTGCCCAGTAAAAGGGGGTGTGTCTGCGGTACCATAGCTTCTTTTCCGCTGCCCATAGCGGCGCCCAGGGGCTCCGTTTCCCCCGGGTCGGCCTGCGGAGCGATTCCCAGAACCGCACCCCCAAAGTCACGGCCGAGCCAGTGAGCGAACCAGCGCCGGGCCGAGGCACAAGGGCGGGGGCCACCGGGACCCACCAACTGCTTCAGGTCCTCCTCAGAGAGCTCCGCGTAACGGTACCGCTGCTGCTCGAACTCGTACCGGGTGGTTTTGGCCACCACCACCACCCGGGACGGGCGGAAGCCGCCGTCGGGACGGCTGCCACAGCCCGCCAGCTCGCGCGGC